ACCAAAAATCCAGTTGTGGTGGAATGTTATGCAACCTTCAAAAGATTCTGATACATACCACATGGCTGAACCTTGAGGACCATATACATGTGAAATAAGCCAGGCACAACATTGCACTGGCATGAGGTCTCTAGAACCATCAAATGCATACAGACAGGTAGAAGCATGGTGGAGCCAAGAGTTGTGGAGGAGGACGGGAAGCCTCTGTTTACGGGGCATAGAGTTTGCTGTGCAAGACGAGAACAGTTCTAGGGAAGGACAGCGGTGATGGTTGCACAGCGTGAATGTACTTGTTATCACTGAAGCTCCCATTTAAAACTGGGTAAGATGACACATTATACCACGCGTGGTGGCACACACCTGTGATCCCAGCACTCTGGGCGGCCGAAGCAGAAGGAATGCAATTTGGAGCCTGGCCTGGGCATTTTAGTGGTTTAGTGAGACCCCGTCTCAAAATAAAAAAACTTTTTAAAAAAGGGTTCTAGGGGGATGGGGATGTAACTTTGGTTTAACCTCCAGGACAAAAAAGAAAAAGAAAAAAAAGACCAAGTTTATGTGTATTTTACCAAAGTTAAACATAACTTTCAATAAACAGGAATGAAAGAATCTGTCATTCGGTATTGCAGAATTTAAATGAGGTGTTTGTGAAGCCCTTAACACAAACAGAGCCTGAATAAATTACAGAATTACGGCCACATGGTATTCCTAGAGCTAGCAGCAACTCGGACGTTTCTCTTTAAACCTGCTCACTCTTTTTTTTTTTGGTACCAGGGATTGAACTCGGGTCCTTGCACTTGCAAGGCAGGCCACCAAACCACTGAGCTAAATCCCAGCCCTAAACCTGCTCACTCTTAATGTGTGGCAGAGCATGGAATTCAGCTGTACTGTCAAGAGTCGGTCAGCCCCTTAGAGCAGAGGGGACAGCAAGGACAGCAGGTGCATACATGTTCAGGCTTTGAGGCTCACCCATGCCTCCTCACCACACCCAGCTCCATCCAGACCCCAGGAGCATCCTCCCAGAACATTCTCCCAGCCCCTGACATCCCAGAGAAATCAGAGGCCGTACCATAGCAGGTCCGCCCGTCTCCTCGGAAGCCGATGGAGCACTCGCAGGTAAATGTCTTCCCCTGGCCAGGGCGACAGGCTGCGTTGGTGTCACACCCGTGAGTGCCAATGTAGCAAGGATTCTGAAGGGCATCAGGGGAGCCCTCTGTGAAGGCAAACATTTGAGAAGTCAGTGTCCAGGAACTCCTGTAGGCCACCTCCTTCCCCTGAAAGCAAGCCACAAGAGACAGAGAGGAACGGGGGGCAAGCCAGCCACTTCTCCTGTCACCCTAGAGTGGGATCTGTGAACCAGGCCTCTCTGGCCCCTCTCCCTGTTTCGATAATGTTTCATTGGCAACCAGACACACCCCTCTGCTTCCATATGGTCTCTGGCTGCTGCTGTGTGACCATGGCAGACCTCAGATGGATATGGCTGGCAAAAGCTGCGATATCTACTACCTGGTCCTTCACCGATCCCTGGAGCCACGGCTGTCAAAGGGGAGAACCACACCTGCCTGCCTCCTGCTTGGCAGAGCTAAAGTGAGGACAAACGGGCCAGCTAGGGCAGTAACTTGGGTAAGGAGGAGAAGCCAAAACAACGGAGAAAGGGAAAGATCCCAATTACAAGGATCCCAGGGGAAGTCTGATTGGTGACGTGTCACAAAAGCCTTTATAGCTTGTGTCTAGAGTCTCCCCAAAGCTTTGGGCAGTCACGGGGGTGGGGGCTTTTCAGAGATGGTTGGATCTAGAGTGTGTAGTGCTGGGATCAAGATTGTGTGATTACTAAATCTACCCACTGATTGGTCTGGCATAGTTCCGGGTAGAATTAAGGGTGAGAGTGCTATATTGACCCTATGGTGAGGAGCCTTCACAAAATGTAAGGGACAGAGTTTCTAACGTGCTCTAACCTGCCTGCTTGCCATGAACTGTTTCTCCTCCATGATGCCCTTCTGCCATGCCACCCTGCCTGGGAGCCGGCCCACTGTGCACTAAAATTTCTACAAACTGAGCCAAATAAACCTTTTCTTCTTTAATTTTGGGAGTCAAGTATTTTCTCTCAGAGATAAGAAAAAGTAACTAAGACAGAATCGGGTACCATAGAAATGGGGTTGTTGCTGTGAACGCACCTGTCCAGGTGGTTCAGGAGCCTTTGGAACAACTGGCTTGTGGGGAGAACTTGGAAAGGTTTGGAGGTACTGTCTGAAAAATCAACCCTAGAACGCCAGAGGCTGTACCTGATGGGAGATTCTGGTCAGAGCTCAGAAGACCAGAATGCTAATAGAAATGTTGCTGGTAAAGACCAGGCTTGGGAGGTTTCTGCTGGGAAGGACTTCACTGGTTGTTGGGACTCCAGAACATGGGTGTTATGCCTTGGCAGAAAGTTTGTTTGTATTTTGCTCATGTCCAGAAACTTTGCCTCAGACTAAGATTAAGGGCAGTGGACTAATTAATTTCAAGGCAGTCTAATGTTGAGGCTGTGGCACGGCTACTGTTGGGAGCTTTCAGCCAGATTTATGTTGAGAATAAAAAGCAAAGACCCCAGCAGAATGATTCAAAACATTGAGTTAGGCCAGAAAGGAAACTCCAGTTAAGTTACAGCCTGCAAAGATGGAACAGAGGAGAAACTGGTCTCTGAAAAGAGTAGCAAGGAAAAGCCAAGTATTTCAGAAGAAAACAAAAGAGAAGATGGCCTGAGGACATCACGAGAACCACTGGGACTCCAGTCCTTGAAGCCTCAGTGTCACAAGTGGGTTAAAGACCGCTTTGGAGAAGAAAGGCCCAGAGCACTATTTGCAGAATGGCAGTGGCCTAGAGAATTTGTTTCTCAGGACTGGGTTCAGAGTGCTGGGAGATGCAGGCACTCAACCCCTATAGCCAAGAGAAGGAAGCCTGGCTACTGCTCCAACTACTGACAGATCATGGCATCATCCACATGGTGCTGGTTTTAGATGCATGCAAAGTACAAGAGTTGTGGGAGTCAAGAAAGTTTCCACCCAGATTGCAGAAGGCCTGGGAGGCGAGGCAGTGTGCCCCTGAGAGGGTACTGTGTGAAGGTGCAGTGCAGACCTCAGAAGTCTGGAGAAGCCAGGAAGGTGATCATCTGAGGAAAACTGCAAGGAAGGGGCAGAGCTGGGCCAAGAGAGAAGCCATGGGAAACTACAACTACCTTCAGTGCCACAGGGCCAGAGCCACCCAAACCTTTTGGAGTCCACATTTTGCCACAGATTGCCTTGGATGCTGGACATAGAACTACAGGACTTAAATGTTTGCCCTGCTGGATTTCGAACTTGCATTGGTCCCATTCCCTTGTATTCCCCTATTTGTACCTTTTGGAATTAAAAATGTCTGTCTTACGCCACTGAATGTTGGAAGTGTTTAACTTTCTTTTCATCGATACAGGGGCTTGCAGCTAAGATGTTTCTTAAATCTTAGAGACTTTGGATTTGGACTTTTCAACAATGTGAAAAACGTTAGGATTTTGGGCACTCTTAGAGATGGACTGACTTAAATGCCTTTTGCATAAAGGAATGTGCATGGGCCTTTTAGGGTCCAGGAGCAGAATGTTATGGGTTGTTTCTAGATGTCCCTCCAAAGCCTCATGCAGTCACTGGGGGAGGCTTTTTCAGAGGTGGCTGGATCTAGAGTGTGTGGTACTGGGATCAAGGGTGTGTGATTACGAAATCAGTCCACTGATTAGTCTGGCACAGTTCTGGCTAGGATTAAGGGTGTGAGTGCTGCCCCTTCCTGGGGCAGGTAGCCTGCATAAAATATAAATGACAGAAAGGGCTAATGTGCTCCCACCTGCCTGCTGGCCGTAGACTGTTTCTCTTCTGCCATGCCACCCTGGCTTGGAGCCAGCCCACTACGAACTGAAACCTCTACAAACTGTGAGCTAAGTACACATTTTCTCCTTTAACTTTGGGTGTTGAGTATTTTGTCTCAGTAATGAGAAAAAGTAACTAAGACACACTAATGGTGTACAGTCCCCAGGGTGAGAGCCTGTCTTTGTGTTTGGTTTTATTTAGATTTATCTTAGGGCCAAAGCACACAATTCCCTTCAAAATAGGAATATTAAAGAATTTTTTAAAAGTCCTCTCTTGAAAGAATAAAGAAAAAGTGGTATATACACGCAACGGAGGGCAGGGGATACGGCTCAGGGGCACCGTGCCTGCCTTGTAAGCAGAAGGTCCTGAGTTTGATCCCCGGTACCCCCCAAAACAAAAAAAAACATATAATGGAATATTATTATAGATTTAAAATAAATGAAATCTTGTCATTGGTGACAACACGAATGAGTCTGGGGAATGTTAAGTGAAATAAGTCTGGCACAGAAAAATGAATACCCTGTAATTTCCCTTAAATTTGGGGGCTAGCGAAGCTGATCCCATAGCAGCAGACAGCAGAGTATCATTCACCAAAGAACAGGCAGGGTGGTGGGGACCGGGGACAGAGAGAGTGGTTAATGAACGGGATGAGGCAGCTGCACAGGAGAAATGACTTCTAACATTCCACAGCACAGTGGGGTGACTGCGGTTAGCAACAATTAATTGCCTACTTCAAAAGAGTAGAGAGGATTTTGAATGTTCTTACAAATGATAAATGTTTAAGGGATGAATACACCAATTACCCTGACCTGATCACTCCACATCGTGTACCTGTATTGAAATTAATCACACTGCAGCATAAATATATGCAATTATTAATATACCAATTAAAAATACATTTTAAGCAAAGGTCCGCCAAAGCCAGAAGCGTCCTTTGGCTGGTTGTCTCTGTAATCACTCATGAGGTTTTCATTCTCTCTCCTTCAGACAGGGTGTGATCACCTCTTCAACTAGGAGGTAGTTTAGCAAATAGGTTTCTCAAGAATTACAGGTGGCAAGATATTTTTTTTCCTCTTAGAAGATATTTTTAGTATAATTTTCTTCAATAGATGGAAAGAGACCAAAAAGTAAGAAACCAAAAACCCAAGCCAAAGAGCAGGGTCTGGAGGAGCACAAGTGCTGAGAGCTTGCCCCTTACCCCTCACGGGCCCAATGGAGTTGCTGAGGGCATAGCGCAGGATCCTCTCCTCCTGGTTGTACAGGACAAACACGCTGTCCACTGAGAGCTGCTGCGTGCTGGGCAGGGCCGGCCGCGCCGTGTCGTGCACACACTCCTGGAAGGTGATGGTCTGGCGCCACTGGTAAGTGTAGGTGCGTGACGGTGAGGCACCGGCCCCCTCAGGATCAGTCACCGTGTACTCCCGGGTGGAGGAGGAAGTGATCACTGGGGTGACCAGGGCAGAAGGGGACAGGGCAAGAGAGAGAAGACAGATCTTTACTGATGCACTCGTACTTTGAAACCATCAGTGGCATTCCCTTCCCACAATGCACCAGATGGCAGTCGGACTGGACAGCTTAAGAGAGCTTATCAGTCTTTTAGATTTCCCACACTGTCATTGGTGCTATTTAACCTCTTACAGCAAAGATGGAGGCTTTGGCTGAATGTGCTGTATTAGTTAACATAATAAACATTCAGCATTGTCATTTCATAATTTAGTTTACAGTCATATTAGATACAAAGTTTAACATGCCGAGGAGAGACTATATTCTACATCCTTCCTAATGGCCTTAACGAGCACATTTATAAAGCTTAGGCTTTCATTCCACTTGCTATAATTCCCTCCTGGACACCAAATGTACATACCACTTATTGTTTCAAATAATTATTACCCTTTATGGTTAATGCCATGTTCTGAAATTACTTATATTAATTAAGACAACTTCAGCAATTGAAAAAGAGGATAGTAGAATTCCTCTAGAAAATCCTGAAGATCCTGCATCATTAATATCTGTTGCTTTTCATATCAAATGGTTCTCCGGAACATCCTCGGACTCCCAGAATTAAGAGATCAAGGTCTGGTAGAAAGTGTGCATGTTCAGAAGGAGGTAACATCCTCACACTGCCTGCAAGCTGTATGTGTGACCACACAGCTCTCACTAGCAGCTTTAGCTTCAGTTTCTTCTCAAAACAGGTCAGGGCGAGATTAGATGAGGTCATATATGTAAAAGGTGTGGAATCAGGCAGACTGATACCATTACTCAGATCCATGACCATTTATTGAGCATTGACTGACTGCATGACTAGTGGTATGCAAACTGCTTTTTATAAGTTATTTCATCTAGAGGTAATAAATTGTGGTTGCTCCAAACTACCCTAGAGTAAGCAGCTCTGTAACATTAAAAAATGAAACTTTAAATGGGTTTTAACTGTCAATTTTGGAAAAATTACCAGGAGTAAACCTCAGCAGACAGACACAGCCTTCTCAACTCAGAACAGAGCTATTTGCCCATGAGACAAAAATCTTTAACTTCCTATTTAAGAAAAAAAACAGTATAAAAGACTCATTATATTTTTGTTCTCTGTTGCAGTTGGTTCCGTAATAGAACAATGAAATCCAGAGGATAAATAAAAGATCAGTGTAAGCCGCTTCTGTCCAGCTCCCACACGCTGGCTTCCAGAGAGGCCATCTGCTCCTTTCACTGGCTCCCATCAGCACCAAGTGGCAAAGTCCTGGTGACTGCACAACCTTCTGGACAGCAAGCCTTTGAAAAGTGCCCAGCCGAGGACAATGGCACAGGCCTGTAATCCCAGCATCCTGGGAGGTGGAGGCAGGAGAATTACAAATTTGAGACCAGCATGGGCAACTCAGCCAGGACTCTGTCTCCATATAAAAAACAAAAACAGACTGAAAATGCTTTGTGAGAAAGCCCTAAATTTAAACCCCAGTACCTTTAAAAAAAAAAAAAAAAGTTCTTAGTTGATCATTTCTAGGAGTCAAGTCAGAAATTTGGTCAAGAGAGATGGTTATTTCAACTCAGAATGAGTGGGGAAAAGTGGAAACTCCCTAAGCTCTAAGAGAGAAGCTTTAGGAGAACAGTTTAACAGCCATCCATTAGAATGGGGCAGGTTCCTTAAAAATGACTTCAAAGCCTACTTAACTGTTAAATATTCATGATTTTGCAATAACTGGAAAGGGGAAATTTTAACAATGACACACAACTGCAATGTCACTGAAACAGAAACAAAACTCCTCCCCGTAGATTATATCATTGTATCATTGTCAGATTTCTTGATTTTGATACTTAGAATGTGGCTGTGTAAAATGTCCTTGGTAAGAAAAGCACAAGAAGCATTTAGGGGATAACTATCGTGATGCATACACCTGATCACAAATGGTCAAAATACATACATATATGTAGTATATGTATCTGTGGCAAAATGTTAACAATTGGTGAAGCTGGGTAAATCATATACAAAAACTCTTTGCTCTATTTTCAGTTTTCCTATAAGTTAAAATCAGGTACTTGATGGAGAATAAATGAAGGTTTAAGAACTACAAATAGATGTGTTTTTACAATCGTACTGTTTTATCTTGAATTATATAACAGGTTGGGAAATTTAACCTGAATAAAGATAGATGTTGGAGATTTATGAAGTATAGCATTAAACTACATAATTACCTACTAGATTTACAACTTTAAGTTAACATTTATTTTCTGCCTTGCACTAAATTCTCTACACCAAGCGTGCCCTGTGTGGAAGGCCTTGTGAGTTTCCCTCCCTGAGCCCTGGAGATGACTTTGGATCCAGGAGGCCAGCAGGGTGTCAGGGCGTGCAGGGGCACGGGGCTGTCCCGGGGACCACTTACCAGAACTGGAGTAGTGGTAGAGCTCCGTATAGGGCTCAATGTTCACAGAGGAACCAGCTGGGATCTGCGGCACGTGGCCCTCCAGCTCCGTGTCGATCGTCAGGTGCCCGTGCTCATCAACGCCACTGAACTGCTGCCTGATGACCAGCTTGCCCGGGTGCCCCACGAAGGTCACCTCAGCCTGGCGGGTAAACTCGCCCCCTGCAAAAGCAAGATGAGCCTGTCAGTTAGTCTATCTGGCTAGCATACCCTCCTCCTTCCCGGCCTGTGTCTACAATGCCAAGCCATGACTCACAGAACCTGGGGCTGGTGACGCTGAAGGTAGAGCCCAGACAAGGGAAGTTGCTTCCATGAGATGTGTGACTCAGAGATTGCACCAGACCAAAAAGCAGGGGCCTTGGGTCTGACTCCAAGCCAGTGGTGGTAAAGCTTACAGCACACACGCTACAGAGGGCTATCTGTACCACTGAGAGCTCTAAAGGGTTCACCAGCACTGCTCCACGCTATGCTAGGAAGTGGCTGGTAAAGATAAAGATGAATAAGTTGCTTAATCCCTCTAAGCCTCTACTTCCTGGTGATGAAAAAGAGATGCAAAATCCACCCTGTGGCTGGAGGAGATAAATGTTCTAAACGTTCTGTTATGTTGCTGAAGCCAGACACGGTGGCGCGGCGCACACCTGTAATCCCAGCACTCAGGAGGCTGAGCCAGGAGGATTGCAAGTTCACAGGAAGCCTAGGCTACATAGCAAATGGACTACCTAGAAAGAATTTGTCTCAAAAAAAAAATTATCAAAGGCTCTAATGACAGTTACGTGATAATTACTGAAATAGCTAAATCTTGGTCAGGACAGGCCAGTTTATTCATTGCAACCCATCACCAGTACCAAAACCATCCTACAAGCCCATGCTCTGGTGTCGGCTCAGGATCTTCTTCTGATGAACTACCTGAGTGGAGGTAGCAGCAGTGTGCAGGCTGCAGGCACTGGAAGGGACCAGAAATGAGGTGCAGGGCAACAGCCCCAGGAAAATAGGAAAATATTCTCCCTCTGTCTAGCTTCTTCCCTTTTCCACGAGAGCAGGCACCCATTACAAGAGGGGTCAGCAAACTACAGCCCCAGAGTTTAATCCACACAGCACCACTTGTTTTGTTTTGTTTGGTACCTGGGATCGAACTTGGGCTCTTGTGCTTTCAAGGCAGGTGGTAGAACCACTGAGCCAAATCCCTGGCCCTTACCACTTGTTTTTATGTGGCTTTTGAGAGCTAAAAATCAGCTTTACATTTTAAGTGATTAAAATAATATAAGAATACGCATAGTTGGGCATGGTGGTACGTGCCTGTAATCCAGCACTCTGGGAGGCTGAGGCAAGAGATCACAAGTTCAAGCCCAGCCTGAGCAACATAGCAACTTAAAAAGATCTACCTCAAAATAAAAAATTCTGTCTCAGAAGAAGAATATGTGAACAATGCATGCATTTTAAATTTCAGGCACCCATTAATCAAGTTTTATTAGAATACAGCCAGACTCATCCATTCACACACTGTATTTGGTTGCCTTTTCTCCACAATGACAGAGCTGAGTCATTCCAGCAGACGCCAGAAATCTAAAACATTCAGACAAAGCTTAAAATGTATACTATCAATCCCTTTGCAGAGTTTGACCCAAGTTTCAAGGAGATACTCAATTGATAATAGGTTCCTGGCAATTTACAAAGGATCCCTATGGTAATAAAGATTTATCGGGTAGGGAATTTGAAAGACTCCCTCTCCGTGCTACAGTGTCCCCCACCAAGATTAACCTACGTGCAAAACGACCCCCCTGAGAAAGCCACACAGGAAAGAAGCAAGGTCTGTGAGTCTGGCTGTAGCTCAGCGGCATCGGCAAAGCACAGGTAGTTTACGCAACAGTTTGGGTGTGGTTCTGATACTCCAAATACATATGTCTGTGGCTATGCCGAAAACACATTGGGCCAAAACCTAAGGAAGTCTGATGGGGAAGGTTCACCCCTCTTCAAATACATATCCTCTCTTTTCTTAAAATGGCCACACTTCAGGAAGTTATGCACTTAAACTGCTAACTTCTGCAGTTTGGAAGCTTGACAGAGAGGCTGGGCTCCAGATGCCTCGGTCACTGGGAGAAGGCACATCTAGGGCGTCAGAGGCAAGCTGTCGGTCCTGGAAGTGACAAGCTTAGAATAGCTACTGCAGCTATTCCCAGGAATGGGCCCCAGACACACAAAGTGTCTGGCTTCTGCAGAGGAAGGGAAGGGTCACCATGACACCACGGATGTGGCCTCCAAATCATCTGTCCACATAGCCCCAGAAGACACAGCCTCTAAGGGCCGCCAGGGTTTCCTAAGACTCAGGAGGATGATGTGTATCAGACTTGATTCACTAGCCAGACCTGTCAGGTTCCTCTTCTCTGACCTGACACTGAGATGTCAAACGTCAACCCCAGATGCCCATCTGGTCGTGAGTATAGAGAAGCTGACGTTACGGGTCTAACTCTCCGGCACAACACTGCTCCCCGACCAGGCACACGTCTAGGCGGTCTCCACTAATGAGCACAGTAGGTGTTAATTCATGTCTTCGTCTTATTCCCAGGGTAGAACACAGGGTCCTCTGTCCACGACCAAGTGCCTATCAGAAAGCACGCGCAGTTCCTCTGCATTCCCAGGCCTCCCCCAGGCACTGCCATGTGGCCCGCTGACTTTAATGTCAGATATAAATTACCAGTAATGCTGAAGCCATTCTTGAATCCATTCTGCTCCACAGCAAACATCCAGCCAATGATGCCCCCAATGGGTGCCAGAGGAAGCAGGGAGTAGCCGACGGTCTCGGGGATGGTGCTGATGGCCGTGTAGGAGCGCCCATGGTTCATCACCACATAGGAGTGGAGATCGGTGTTCTCAAAGACTATGGGGGCCTGGCTGCTGCCCACAAAAATCCTGCCCTTCACCTTGCCATTGACACGCTGTGGGGAGCCTGCGCCAGACACAAAGAGAGGTTGACATGCTTTGCAGCCAGCCTTCCACAGAGTACTACAAAGAGTGACCGAAATACACAGGGAATGTTTAAATTTAAAAACATATTACAAGCCGGACGTGGTAGCGCACTTGTGTAATCCCAGCACTAGGGAGGCTGAGGCAGGAGGATCGCTGTACTACATAGTGAGACCTTGTCTCAAAAAAACAAACATGGGTCGGGGATTTAGCTCAGCGGTTCGGTGGCCTGCCTTGCAAGCACAAGGACCCGAGTTCAATCCCTGGTACCAAAAACAAACAAACAAAAAAATGAAAAAACAAACAAACAAGAAACCATATTACAGTAAAATACACACTGCCATTAAGCTCCCTCAGGATACACCCCCTAACTTGGAATGCAGGATACCATTTCTGTTCTCAAAACTAATGTTAACAATAAATAATACACCTTGGGGAAAACTGCTAACAGTTAAGTACCCTGGTACCAAACAAACAAACAAAAAAATGAAAAAACAAACAAACAAGAAACCATATTACAGTAAAATACACACTGCCATTAAGCTCCCTCAGGATACACCCCCTAACTTGGAATGCAGGATACCATTTCTGTTCTCAAAACTAATGTTAACAATAAATAATACACCTTGGGGAAAACTGCTAACAGTTAAGTCAGGGCAACATGATGAATGTTCGTTTCTCCTATACCATGTATCTCTGTGATGTTTGAGTATATATAACTTGCAAATGTATGTACTGCTCAATCAGGAATAAAAGAACTAAAAAAATTACTTAGCCAGGCATAGTAGTGCACACCTGTAATCTCAGCACTCTGGGAGGCTGAGGCAGAAGAATCCCAAACTCAAGCCCAGTATGGGCAACTTAGTGAGGCCCTGTCTCAAAATAAAAAAAAAATTTTTTAAAGGACTGGGAATGTGGCTCAGTGAAAGGTTCTGGGCTTAATCCCCAGTGCTGCAAAAGGAGGGAGGGAGGAGGGAGGGAAAGCTGCTCTTATTGTATTCAAATAAGAAAAATGAAGATTACCGTATGAACCAGCAATTCCAATTCCTCTGTATATACCCAAGAGAATGGAACACATATGTCCACACAAAAATTTGTACATACTCTTTTTTTTGTACACACGTTTTTAGTAGCTTTACTTATTTATACTAACAGAAAAGGGAAACAACTCAAATGCCCATCATCTGATGGATGGATGAACAAAACATGGTACACCCATCCATCGGATATTACGTGGCTACGGAAAGGCACACAATACTGACTCACGCTATAGCATGGATAAAATGTGAAACTATTATGCTAAGTGAAAGAAGCCAGGCACAAAAGGGATAGTGTATGGCTCCCCTGATACGACATCTCCAAATCAGGAAACCCCACAGAGCCAGAAAATAAATTAGGAGTGACAGGGCTGGGGGACTCTGAAGAAATCAGAGTGGCTGCTAAGGGGTACAGTGTATGCTCATGGGATGATAGAAATGTTCTAGAGTTAGAGGTAATTTTTCTACAAAATAGTGGCTATATTAAGACCTATCAAACTCTATGTCTTAAAAGGTATATGATATTAGATCTCAACAAAAAAGAAAAAAAGAACAAAAATTCGAGGAAAACGTAAAACAAAGGTCATCTTGGATTGCTTAGGTATGAGAAAAAGTTCATTCTGTCAGCTACTGGTCCAAGTTGCTCAACAAGATCACAGACCAGCCAAGGAGTATTTGACACGGAGTAGCTGTGCACACAGTGTGTCATTCCACTGGGGAGTTCTCTGAAACTCGCAGGCTCATAGCAAAAAAATGCATCCCAAGAAGAATTACAGAAACAAGGAAGAAAGCCAAGTGAAGGAAACCAAACACATATTTTTCCCACCAACCTTGAGCTAGAAAAGAATTTTTTAAGTAGCAAGAATCCAACAAATATTTAAACCACGAAACTATTACAGGACGAGCATATAACGTTAAAATTTGTGGCTGAACAGTTTGCCATCTCTGAGTTTGCTGCCAAACAAACTGTTCAGCATGTTGGGCTCTAATACTTGGGAGCAAGAGCTAATGAGGTTGCTCCTTAAGAATTGGCTTTTGCTGTAGATTTTGGAAACTCTTGAAGGGTGGAGAGGTACTGAAGCCAAACCTAAAACAAAGAAGCCAAGGGACACCATCGGGGGTGGGGGGGAGATTTGGAAGAAAACACTTTAAAGAAGTCGAAAATTAATATGAAGTATATGTGAGGTATTCTTTCATTGTTGAAGGTCACTTCATGTAATTATGACCCAGAAGGAAACTTTTTTTTTTTTTTTTTTTTTTTT